GGCAGCATAATTTTATTTGTTGCTCCCGGGGTGACAATATGTTTGTTCAAAAACACCGGGTCATTAAAATAATGGTGAAATATGTCTTACGAAACAACCAAAGTTTTGTTCCCCGAATCAGTCAATAAGACTTAGTTCGTCATGCTGAAAGAGTACACAGGCAACCCAGATCAGACAGGTGGGCAGAGCCTAACAGATTTTCTATCACGAACCTATTCGAAAAGGCGAATGGATTTCATAGGTTTTATTGATACTTTTGCTTATAGAGTAAAACCAGCCCCATAGTAGATATGAAAGACCTGTGATTTATTGTAAATTCACTGTGAGACTAGAGATCCCAACGCACCTGTTCAGGTGGAAGTGGGTTAATACGCAGCACTAGTATATCAACAAAATTATGATTTCTTCAAAAGTGGCCACTCCTTTTATATCAGATGGGAAACAAAAGCGCTCAAAGTCGAAACAATGAACCAAAGATAACCATAAATAAGAGACCATCCGCCAGTGACGTGATGCATTCGATGCGAAAACTCATGTAGAAATGTGAGACGGCTCCGGGAATATGAAATTTCTATGTAGAAGAAGAATAAATGTCGAAGTCCGTGTAAACGACAAATCTTATTTACCCAAAGGAAAAAAATAAGGTTGCAAAGAGAAACGAATATTTGTAATTATTGAAGTAGGCGAATTTGCGAACTATTCACGGGCCCAGGAACCAGTTGTAATTACTTTTGCACTCATTCAAACAATAATCCCGTGGACAGGTATGTTTGTCGTTCCCAGAGACAGAAGGACATTTTCCTATCCTTCTTCGCAAGGGAACAGTTCACACTATCAAAGACACAATCTTGCAACACTTGTTTGATAGTAGACAGCCAATCGATTCGGTGACGGTCCTGACCACTTGTGCAGTTCACAGCAAACGACCACGTAGGCAGTTACGCTTGATGGCAGAAGCCGTAGAAGTTCGAAGGTGAGAGCCACGGCAATAACAATAACAGTTTCGTGGGACGGTCTTGTGGAATCGTTGTTGTTGTTTCCGTGGCCATAACAAGAGTTTCCCTCTGTACTTTCTATTGTCAAACTCATCAATCTTATGACATTTCACGCACCCAACTTTAGCACATGTCTACTCCTTCTTACTGGCCACACAATTCACATATAATTTCACACCAGAGTTGAAAAGGATCATTAGATTTTAGTATGTAGTAAAGACCCCGGACTTATTGCATGTTTATTCAACTCTGTTATCTAGAACTATTTGCAAATGATAGATCATATTATCTAGAACTATATTTATTCCCAGTTACTCCGTACTACGTAGTAAATGCTTAAAGGATGAAGTGAAAAGACTTTTCTCTCTGCAGCATGAATTTTCATGAATCAACGGAAATTTTCATTGAGATTGTGATAGAATTGATTCCTGGTATCCTTGACAGCGTTTTCTATTACTTCAAATAAATGGAAAATTTATTAGTTTGAATGATTCGATGAGAGCGCAGAAATCAAAACAAATGATTTGGGCGAAAGGAGTTGTTCAGTACTTGATGGATGAATCACAATGACCCGAGCAGTGGGTTGAACAGTCCGATGCTATTCGTTCGGTAGTACGGGTGTGGGTGTGTACAAGTGTTTACTATGAAAGCTTGAAAAACGAAGGTGAAAATTACATAAATGTACGGCAGAGGAACTGCACTTTCCTGGGTCATTTTGAACGGAGTGTGTCGTTGGACGATCTACCGGCAAACATCATTTGTTCCGTTACCGTTCACGTGATTATTCGCACACACGATTCTATTGGATATGCTCGTTATAGCGGAATATATTAGGCAAAACAAATTTAATAACATTATCATCCTTCTTGTCAGTTTCAACCTTGCTGAGCAAACATATCAGTTGCTGTTCTCTTTCTGGTCCTCGGTTTAGAGCTAAACAGTCATATTCCAAGAGGTATGTTCATAAACCCGAGCGCAATTTCCCTAAACTAAAAATGATTTATTTTATAAATGTTAAACTGTTGTGAACCTGCAGGACAAATTGTAAATTAGTCTGTTTGCTTTTCATGCTGAATAAGTTCTCCTTAAATGAGAAAGGATACGCACCTATCAGTAATCGAAATCATTATTCCCTAGGGTATATCCACACGTTCTGAGTTTTGTTTGAGCAAGGTCGTCGTGCTAAAGACTTGGAAATAGAAACTCTAAATTCAAGCCCTCAATCAATGCGGTGCAAAGTTTGTACTACGTATTTGAAATCTTTAGCTCGTGGCTGTCCTGAAAGATGTTACCCGTGTTCATATTCCAAGGTAGATAACACTTGTTACAATTCCTGACTGGTATATGACTAATCCATTCCCGATTTCAAAGTGGTCATCTGCAACCACTAAATATACCGTCAACTGTTATGTTCATGGAATCTGTCCCTTCCGTTGAAAAGATGAACATCCTGGAAAATAGGGTTATAAGTAGTGAGGGAAGCTTATAGTTAATCCCTGGGAAGAAACTAAAATGGTGGCAGTCTTCTTTGAAGTCGTAGTCTAACGTATATTAGAACGTCAATTAACAAACAGGCTTACTTTCAATGCTTCAAGCTTTAGGCCCGACAGAGGAAAAAGGGCATTTCCCAGGTCTAGCAACCTTGAAGTAAAAGATTACATATCTTAGCGCAGTACATTCGTCCTTCCGTGTATGGTCACATTTTGTGGCAGAGACAAGGGTAATAAGTTGAAGGAAGTAAGTCCGGCTTCCAGTGCCCTTCATGTGACTGGTCTCTCCACTGGTCTCCCACAACAACCGTTATAACTCCCATAATGACTTGCTTAAAGCTGTCAACTATTCTCAACTGGTCACTAATTAATGTTTATGCAATGAGGATGCGACTCTTTTGGTATGCACACAGCATTTCTGTGTTGCAAGCTGTATAACCTGCTTCAGGACGTTAACCTTTAGGCCTTTCAGCGAAGGATAAATTACCTAAGGTCGGCCCTCCGGCGGGGTCTTTGCTTTCAGCATCTTCGTGCAGATACAGACGGACACCTTAGAAAGCTTCATATTCACTAAAAATCAGGTGAGATAAGAAACAGTTGTACGGAACGGCTTTTGGAATGGTCTGTGGTTTCAAAAATGCCAAACTAGAGAACAGTATGATGTGTTTTACTGCCCCCTTTTGTTCCTTCTCTTATGGAACTTGACGAAACATATCATTCGATTGCCTTGCTACACTGACTGACCGTTGAAGAACACTAGCCTATGCTACAATCAACCCTCACTTTCAAAGGTATTGACTGAGCAATTGCAAGGCTAACTGTTTTCATAATTTTATATTCCTTTCGTTCATTGGAGCATTGATAGTTCTTGGTTATGAGCGTGCGCTTCCTCTCCATCACGAAAAAATGGAAGTTTACCTGCATGAGATCAGAAGGGAAGAACCCTTGGTGTTTTGAACGGAACTTATATTAAGGAACAAATAGAGACACTGTCATAGGGCAGGGTAGTGTCGTCACAGAATGCCAACAATATACGAGGAGTGTCCTGGTTCTTGCACTCAGTATCTTGCAATTCCGAATTCTTTACCACACTAGTTGTGTGACCTGAATTAACACTACAAGAGACAATTGTTGGTGACAATTCCTTAATCAGGTACTTCACGGCGATCATCTTCGGTATCACCTTACACTGCTCCCCGTTCAATGAAAGTCGTCCCCCACGCATATGCCATTCCTCATTTACTCGCAGCCTCCATCTCGACCGTTTCATCAGGTTTACTTGACTCAGAACCATCGTGCTCTATTGGCTGGTCTGACTCATCTTCGTATCTCCCCAGTTGATAAAACTACAAAATGAACGAATTTTGCGTGCTTCGGACGTCTCGGATGACACGGTTAGAGCCCAATAACACTCGTTCTACTGTGAAAAGCCCGTACCACTCGTTGTGAAATTTTGAAGGTATCACTGGATTTGGTTGCGTTTGTGGGGTCATATCTTATAAATAGTCTTCAGGAGATGGCTGGAGGATTCCCTGTTGAAAAACTCTCTTTAATATCTATAAGCTATCTCCATATGACTACGAGATGATTGACTGGCTTGCTTCAGCATGTCCAACACGTTGCAGACATACCCACGACAACCATTTACTGATTGTTGACACAACTTGGTCGTCTGTTTTTGGGGCGTCGTATTTCAATTCCTTTCCATAAAAGTGTGGCTTTTGTCCAGTAGAACTGTGGATGGCACCACGGTAAGCAATGGGACAAAGTGGCAATAAGCAGTTTCATTTGTGTGTTGCTCGCCCTAATGGAAAGTGACCGACGAGGCTAGCCCAGTGAATAAAACCAGGATAGTTACTGTGCATCACTGGAATAATGGTTCATGCGTCACCGAATATTCACTGATTTTATTCACAGCTGGCCGTCCGGACCGTGATAACTCATCTGGTGGAGCTTTTACCCGGTACGTGGAGGGTGGCCGGTCCGATTCCGGCTCGCGGCGACAGACATTTCGATGTGAAAATTACAAGTGGATTTTCCACATCATGAGAATTTCGACCGTTGAAAGCCTTCAATTGTGAAATAAGCCCATTTCCCTGTGCAGAATAGTTTGTAGTTCTATTTTTCTCTAGTCCTAGAAATTGACAAAGTTCCAGCAGCACTGCACTCTCGAAGTACGACACTTTGCCTGAATTTCAGAACACCTCACTGATATATCGGATGATGAATGATGGCATTAGCTGCCGGAACCGCATCAGTTGTCATACGGCGATAGATTAGCACCACACAGCAAAGTAGCCAATCAACACAAGTACGTATCAACGGACTGTGAGCATTCTGCCAGCAGGACTTCGACATCCACACAAAAAGAATTCGTCTAAGTAACCCGCAATTAAAAAACGCAGCGCTTCCCAAATGGCCCGAACCGCGATATGACAGCTTTGCGTCTGTGGAATATGAACGTGGTCTGGTCCGAACACTATTTCAAACAGCACGACATATCTGCACAGAAGACATGATTGACAACGAACTACGACAGCTGAATAAATCTTTGACTAGAAACGCTTATCCCGACGCATTTATCGAAAGGCACAGCAAGCCTAAAGTGATCAGACAAACGAATTCGTCAGCAGAAAAACTACTAGTCACCATTTGTCTTCCATTCAAACGTGACGACATCAATTGCTTGCTCAAACGACCACTTGGATCAGCACTTGCCCGAACATATTATGCAGCTGACCTCAGAATTGTTCATCGAACGATTGAGATCCCCACACCGTCGGTGAAACAACGTCTACCTCTGTACACCAAATCGAACCTGATTTACCAATTTCAGTTTAGTCGCGGAGCAACCTACGTGGGTCGAACAGAGCGGCAGTTACGTAACCGAGTGATTGAATATATTCCAAATTGGGTACAACGTTTTGTGATGCAATCAGGGTCAGATCAAAGGCATAATGACAACGTTCGAAACCATAAGATCCCGTCGTCGGCCGTCGCTCGTCATCTTCTGATGACGCAACATCCAGCTGACCGAAGCACTGCGTTTCGGGTCATTCACGTGGCAAAGAATACCAGGCTTTTTAGGTTTGTTCAAACCATTGCCATACATTGATGGAAATCTAATATTGTGTCAGCGAAAAAAGTTCTTTGTTCATGTGTCTTTACCATGGTGACGTAACTTGACTATTGAAATTTCCCCTATATTTATCGAAAATTATGGTTTTACATGAACTTATATAAACAGTATGGTTGTGCAGTGTGCACCATGTTGAGATGCAGCGAAATCGTCCCGGACATGAATCGTGCAATGTTGCAACTGTGGCTTTTCTTTTCAAGATTATTTCGGGAAAAGCATGCCTAAATTTCCTCAGATCTCGTCTCCCGAAATCAACCATTAGGTCTCTCGATGACCTAGTCAGATTGAGATGTAAAATTGCCACGATTCGAGTACGTACTAATTTTCTGGATCACTCAGTATATGTCGCTGCTCACTAAGGGCCTATTCAGGAAGTAATGCTTATGTTGGAAACGTTCTGATTAGACTTGACGGTGCTCATGGTTTGAATTGGTTTCAGTGTCGGAGACATGTTGAACACTTTCGTTTTGCTAACATATGCTTCACTTCTCGGTTTATTTTACATCCGCGAATCTGTAGCGCAAATCGGAGAACACAAATCCAGTTTTGTTTGTTGACCGATTTGAGTTTGATAGTACCTGTACATTTCCGACTTTTCCATGATTTTCAACGTCCCTTGGTGCGACACTCCTTTGTTGTACCGACGTTTCAATGTAAAACTTACACACCTTTTGAACGTCAACACCGCGCAATACAAAGAGGCTGTAAATAAAGCTTTCATTCTGGCACGGCCTCATCTTCTGCTCTGGAGTGTGTTGGAATTATATCGGTCGGAACTAACTGAGTGAAAAAAAACATTTCAGAGGCTTCAACGGCATCTCTTGGCACTTCGCTCAATACCATCCTGTTCTGTTCAACGGATGGCTGTCAGACCGAACTGAACTGAAGACATTGGCGGATATTGGCTCTTCGACGCTCATTTCCTGATCATAAGAACACCGAACAACTGTGAGTTTTAGTCACACCTTTTGTTTCATTTTTATTCCTAATGCGCATAACCTTTTGACCTATTCATCACCGCACGCTCCTCCGTCCATCCTAGTTTGCTAGTATCGTCTTAGATATTGTTGACAATAATTCACCGACATTAGGCATACAGCACTTAACTTCAGCAATCACCGAAATACCACCAGTATTGATGACTCTTGTCTCCGATGCTTGACTGATCACAGATTACGAATCATGCGTAAAGTCGGTGTAAATGAGCTCACAGCAAGCTCAGAATGGGAACGGTTTTAGCATGTTTCATAATCAGGTACTTCACGGCGATCATCTTCGGTATCACCTTACACTGCTCCCCGTTCAATGAAAGTCGTCCCCCACGCATATGCCATTCCTCATTTACTCGCAGCCTCCATCTCGACCGTTTCATCAGGTTTACTTGACTCAGAACCATCGTGCTCTATTGGCTGGTCTGACTCATCTTCGTATCTCCCCAGTTGATAAAACTACAAAATGAACGAATTTTGCGTGCTTCGGACGTCTCGGATGACACGGTTAGAGCCCAATAACACTCGTTCTACTGTGAAAAGCCCGTACCACTCGTTGTGAAATTTTGAAGGTATCACTGGATTTGGTTGCGTTTGTGGGGTCATATCTTATAAATAGTCTTCAGGAGAGGGCTGGAGGATTCCCTGTTGAAAAACTCTCTTTAATATCTATAAGCTATCTCCATATGACTACGAGATGATTGACTGGCTTGCTTCAGCATGTCCAACACGTTGCAGACATACCCACGACAACCATTTACTGATTGTTGACACAACTTGGTCGTCTGTTTTTGGGGCGTCGTATTTCAATTCCTTTCCATAAAAGTGTGGCTTTTGTCCAGTAGAACTGTGGATGGCACCACGGTAAGCAATGGGACAAAGTGGCAATAAGCAGTTTCATTTGTGTGTTGCTCGCCCTAATAGAAAGTGACCGACGAGGCTAGCCCAGTGATTAAAACCAGGATAGTTACTGTGCATCACTGGAATAATGGTTCATGCGTCACCGAATATTCACTGATTTTATTCACAGCTGGCCGTCCGGACCGTGATAACTCATCTGGTGGAGCTTTTACCCGGTACGTGGAGGGTGGCCGGTCCGATTCCGGCTCGCGGCGACAGACATTTCGATGTGAAAATTACAAGTGGATTTTCCACATCATGAGAATTTCGACCGTTGAAAGCCTTCAATTGTGAAATAAGCCCATTTCCCTGTGCAGAATAGTTTGTAGTTCTATTTTTCTCTAGTCCTAGAAATTGACAAAGTTCCAGCAGCACTGCACTCTCGAAGTACGACACTTTGCCTGAATTTCAGAACACCTCACTGATATATCGGATGATGAATGATGGCATTAGCTGCCGGAACCGCATCAGTTGTCATACGGCGATAGATTAGCACCACACAGCAAAGTAGCCAATCAACACAAGTACGTATCAACGGACTGTGAGCATTCTGCCAGCAGGACTTCGACATCCACACAAAAAGAATTCGTCTAAGTAACCCGCAATTAAAAAACGCAGCGCTTCCCAAATGGCCCGAACCGCGATATGACAGCTTTGCGTCTGTGGAATATGAACGTGGTCTGGTCCGAACACTATTTCAAACAGCACGACATATCTGCACAGAAGACATGATTGACAACGAACTACGACAGCTGAATAAATCTTTGACTAGAAACGCTTATCCCGACGCATTTATCGAAAGGCACAGCAAGCCTAAAGTGATCAGACAAACGAATTCGTCAGCAGAAAAACTACTAGTCACCATTTGTCTTCCATTCAAACGTGACGACATCAATTGCTTGCTCAAACGACCACTTGGATCAGCACTTGCCCGAACATATTATGCAGCTGACCTCAGAATTGTTCATCGAACGATTGAGATCCCCACACCGTCGGTGAAACAACGTCTACCTCTGTACACCAAATCGAATCTGATTTACCAATTTCAGTTTAGTCGCGGAGCAACCTACGTGGGTCGAACAGAGCGGCAGTTACGTAACCGAGTGATTGAATATATTCCAAATTGGGTACAACGTTTTGTGATGCAATCAGGGTCAGATCAAAGGCATAATGACAACGTTCGAAACCATAAGATCCCGTCGTCGGCCATCGCTCGTCATCTTCTGATGACGCAACATCCAGCTGACCGAAGCACTGCGTTTCGGGTCATTCACGTGGCAAAGAATACCAGGCTTTTTAGGTTTGTTCAAACGGCTGCCATACATTGATGAAAACCTAATATTGTGTCAGCGAAAACAGTTCTTTGTTCATGTGTCTTTACCATGGTGACGTAACTTGACTATTGAAATTTCCCCTATATTTATCGAAAATTATGGTTTTACATGAACTTATATAAACAGTATGGTTGTGCAGTGTGCACCATGTTGAGATGCAGCGAAATCGTCCCGGACATGAATCGTGCAATGTTGCAACTGTGGCTTTTCTTTTCAAGATTATTTCGGGAAAAGCATGCCTAAATTTCCTCAGATCTCGTCTCCCGAAATCAACCATTAGGTCTCTCGATGACCTAGTCAGATTGAGATGTAAAATTGCCACGATTCGAGTACGTACTAATTTTCTGGATCACTCAGTATATGTCGCTGCTCAATAAGGGCCTATTCAGGAAGTAAGGCTTATGTTGGAAACGTTCTGATTAGACTTGACGGTGCTCATGGTTTGAATTGGTTTCAGTGTCGGAGACATGTTGAACACTTTCGTTTTGCTAACATATGCTTCACTTCTCGGTTTATTTTACATCCGCGAATCTGTAGCGCAAATCGGAGAACACAAATCCAGTTTTGTTTGTTGACCGATTTGAGTTTGATAGTACCTGTACATTTCCGACTTTTCCATGATTTTCAACGTCCCTTGGTGCGACACTCCTTTGTTGTACCGACGTTTCAATGTAAAACTTACACACCTTTTGAACGTCAACACCGCGCAATACAAAGAGGCTGTAAATAAAGCTTTCATTCTGGCACGGCCTCATCTTCTGCTCTGGAGTGTGTTGGAATTATATCGGTCGGAACTAACTGAGTGAAAAAAAACATTTTAGAGGCTTCAACGGCATCTCTTGGCATATCGCTCAATACCATCCTGTTCTGTTCAACGGATGGCTGTCAGACCGAACTGAACTGAAGACATTGGCGGATATTGGCTCTTCGACGCTCATTTCCTGATCATAAGAACACCGAACAACTGTGAGTTTTAGTCACACCTTTTGTTTCATTTTTATTCCTAATGCGCATAACCTTTTGACCTATTCATCACCGCACGCTCCTCCGTCCATCCTAGTTTGCTAGTATCGTCTTAGATATTGTTGACAATAATTCACCGGCATTAGGCATACAGCACTTAACTTCAGCAATCACCGAAATACCACCAGTATTGATGACTCTTGTCTCCGATGCTTGACTGATCACAGATTACGAATCATGCGTAAAGTTGGTGTAAATGAGCTCACAGCAAGCTCAGAATGGGAACGGTTTTAGCATGTTTCATAATCAGGTACTTCACGGCGATCATCTTCGGTATCACCTTACACTGCTCCCCGTTCAATGAAAGTCGTCCCCCACGCATATGCCATTCCTCATTTACTCGCAGCCTCCATCTCGACCGTTTCATCAGGTTTACTTGACTCAGAACCATCGTGCTCTATTGGCTGGTCTGACTCATCTTCGTATCTCCCCAGTTGATAAAACTACAAAATGAACGAATTTTGCGTGCTTCGGACGTCTCGGATGACACGGTTAGAGCCCAATAACACTCGTTCTACTGTGAAAAGCCCGTACCACTCGTTGTGAAATTTTGAAGGTATCACTGGATTTGGTTGCGTTTGTGGGGTCATATCTTATAAATAGTCTTCAGGAGAGGGCTGGAGGATTCCCTGTTGAAAAACTCTCTTTAATATCTATAAACTATCTCCCGCAGCGCTTCCCGGTTGACTCGAAGCGGGTTTTTGAAAGTACTGCAGCGTTCAAACATCATATAAGAGAACGACGTGCCTGTGTACTTGTGGTCACAAAAATCGGTGTCCAGCGGCAGTTTGCTCCAGATCAATGTGCAGGTCCTGGAATATTCCCCATACTAGAGCCTGAGGAACGACCATCTGAACGAAACAATTTGGTCCATAATGGACGAATTTCACTCGCTCCGCCATCACCAGCAGGTCCCACATTACCCACGTGCGTGGCCATGTGTTTCAGAACTTTAATTCTCATTCTCCTTCCTCGATGGTCTTTTTGCCCCTGCGAGCAGATCCTCGTAGATAAGACTCGTCTATTCGCCAGCCTCCTATTCTTGTTGCCATTTTTCCTATTCCGCTCATTGTACTTTCACTGATGCTAAATTTTGTCTGGTGCATGTTGAACAGCGTTTGTGATGAAGTGCAGATCTACGTGCTAGTGAATCAGCATTGGATAGCGGCTTTCGAAATCTTACACTAATAGAATTTCTTTTCAAAGTGCATTCTGGCTCTCCTCATCCTTGAAATCCTTTAAACACTGGAGGGACTGGTGATCTGTGCGGACGGTGAATTCACGTACCAATATATATATATATATATATATATATATATGTACATATATATATGTGATGTCGCCTTGTAATTTTGTTTGTCGAAATGACATTTTCGTGAGTGGTTGGCACGAGAGTTTGACGAGCAGACAGCAAAGCATTCGAGTCACTGACTTCTATTCTGACCATTGTTCCTCAAAATGTCTAACCAACTATAATCCACGTTCCTTTGACCCCAACCAGAGAGGCGAGTAGCACTAACGAAAGCCAGTACTGATGCCAGCTTCTTCATAACTATAAGTCTCCCATTAGATAACACCTCAATCGTCTCAGAAAACATCCTAGTACTAACGTTTCCTTTCTCGTTGTGTAGTAATCAAGTTCTGATTTACTCAGGCATTGACTTCCATAGGCTAATATGTGGTCCCTTCCATCCTTTGTGATTTGTGTCCATACCGTCCCAATCCTCGAACCACTGGCTTTCATATCTAATGTGAACTGGCTAGCAGAAGGTGACATGCTGTTAGTGTTAGCATAGGAGCAGAGTTAAACATCTACTGACTTTCAGCAAACGTCATGTCACATGCCGCATTCTATGGAAGCTGTCATTTTCCTCCTTACAGCGCTTCGAATGGAGAGGCAAACCAAGCAGATTGTAAAAGAAAATGGCTTAAGTGAGACCACATTTCCAGAAGACCTTGTTCCTACCCGTTCGATCTTTTCAGGGTCAGTATGAATTCCAGAAGAAAGCATTACTTACCCCAAATAGCTCACCTCGGGTTGTGGGAAACGGCATTTTGTGGACCTCAGTTTAAAGCCGTATTGTTTAAATCTCTCCAGGTGTTTCTGTTTTGATTTCCCGTGCACGGTGATGTTGTATAGGTTCACTAGGATTCTTTGTGGGGTATGCCCTTCATTGTCGGTTGCGTCAGCCGTTGAGTGGTGGCGTGCCTGAATTGCGAAACACTTTTGGGATTGTTTGTCCCTTCGTTCACTTATTTCTGCTCATTCTACGGACGTTTACAAATCTTCCAGTAATGTCGTAAGTCATTTATTTTAACTCTAGAGAAGGACAAACTGTTCAGGTATTCATCGGCAAAACCTCGTCCAGTTAGGTAACAAATGTTACTCGCATACGTAAAGATGGTCTCATCCGCATGTTGGATCTGGGCTTGGAATTCCCCCTCTATCATTCCGTTACCAGTTTCGGTGTATCAGTTAGCTGTCTACAGCGCGAAATATCTCCGGAGGAACCCCATTCCCCAGTTTTCTTGAGTTAACCACCCTGTCGAATATCTCTGCCGTGATTATGCCGTAGATCACGTTGGAATAACACATGTTTCGGAAACTCTTGAGAAAGGTTCTTATTTGTTTCCCCCAAAGATACCAATTATTGCCTGTTGCGAATTTTTCGGGAACGGCAGTCGGGGATGAAAAACCTGGTGATTGAACTGTTGGTTGTCAATCGGTTGGGAACTCCGAATGATGTGGACATCAAATAGCTGTACTTTCTCCCCTCTTCAATTTTCGGCATCCCATTCTCTTCGCAAATGATTTTATTTGTTTCAGGCATAATAGTAAGATCATCTTTAGCTGGTTGACACAGCTGGCTGACACAGCTGGCTGATAGAGTCGACAGAAAGGAACAATCCTCTTTTTTTGCAATGGAAATTGTCCTGAGGAACAAGTTACAACACTGTCAAGGAACAGAGTGATGATAGCACAAAATGGCAGCTTTACGTGACGGATCAAGTGTCTCGATTCTCGCAATCAGTATCTTGTAATTCCGGGCTTTTTTTCCACACTAGTTATGTGGCTTGAAATAACTCTAAAGGAGATGATCGCCAAACGTCAACCAATAATCAACTGTTTTATGGCGATCATGTTTGTTATCAGCTAACATAGCCCCGGAAGCTCATACGACCCCGATTTCAGTGTCGCGCATTCCAAATAATCACCTTCTTTTCCCGCCAGCCTGCTATGAACAGCGAAATTTCTATTGAGCCATGAAATAAAACAGTTGTGCGTTTGCTGTGTTTTTACTTCCTACTGTGCAACACTAATAAAATCGAACCTTCAGCAAAATTAACTGTTCCTGGCGTGATTAGTACTTATTCCTTAGTGGAGAAAACCATCTGTGGTAAACTTGATCTCCATAGTTTTAAATTATACTGTATTGAGCAGGCTATTGGAAGCCATATTACTGTCCAATTATTGTAAGTGTGGGTTCCCGATGAAACAGTGACTGAGCGTTTTGCTCATACAGTTTGTTGTGTTCGGAATTAACGGAGAGCTAAGTACGCAACAGATCCGTTTATTACCACATCCGTTAACTCGCTTGTAAGCGGGCAAGCTAACAAGTGAATATTCCTTTGGCAAACTCAAGCAGTAAATGCGATCCAGAGTGGTCAAGCCATCAATCAATAGGCAGTCAATAGCGGTGCATGCGTGTGAGACAGTGATTGCGCGAGTGACCACTTGAACCGACACAGCGGAATTGGTTTTTATTTTGCGGATCGAACAACGAACAACCCCCAGGCAGAGGAGTGCTCATCCTTGTGTACTACACCACATTCATATTTGACCGTTTACCAAACTCGGTCAACTTGTCGTGTTGACTAAGACCAAGGAAATTCACATTTTTCAAGAAACAGAACAGGGCTAAAGCTAGTTATTTACATCAAGTTAGTACACAACTTTATATTAACAACGTTTGTTCGGTGAATTATGAAGAAAATTAGACCCATCGCGAAGCAAAATCTTTTTCATTCGAATTTTCACAACACCTGTAGTCTTCTCAGAACTCGCGTTGTTCAAAGTGCTGTAGATGACACTTCCATCCGGATAAGTTTTATCATGATTCATTGCAGCTAATTCCAATGGGCTTAATTGGTTTGCAACAGCAGGCATACCAGACTGAGTTTCTTTGGAGAATTTCTTATCAAGAGTCACGTTTTGTAAGCCTTGTGAGCTTCATCGTGGATCGTATTAAAATGAGGGTTTTAGACAAGATGGTTTGCACAGTAATTTGCATTTTTCCCAACACATGACGACCTTCGTTGGTAGCTAAATGCCCGCCTCACGTCGACCGAAAGCGGATGTTGCTTACCTTACGTCGCCCATCCATTCGACAGCCTAGTGAAATTTATCAGAAAATTTTCCCACTGAATGAATTCAATTCTCTTCAGATGGTGTTTTTCCTTGTCAAAATCCAGATAGAAAGAGTTGTTTGAATAAAAATCACTTGCTTCTACCCACTGTCTCTTGTAATGACATAATGTTCCACATGGCTATGACGAGTAAACATAGTGTCATTTACGGACAGATTTCGAGAAATATCTGTCACTGAAAAACGTATCAAATAGGCTAATAGACATTCCCGTCTCCTCGGATTGCCAAGTCATCTCCATTGATTGTTTTGGAGTAAAACCTGCACCATCATCGTGAATATGGTATGAAATTCAAGCACTTTCAACAAACCAAATGGTTTCTTCCTTGAGCTCACTATCAACAGCGACTTCGCTTCAGAAATGTCACATAAAATAGTATTCCTCAAATATGTTTGTGAGTTATAAGGCTACAGAGCTGATTGCAGAGGGACTAGCTTTTATACATTAGTGCTGGAAACGACTTGTGGTCAGTTTTACCATCGTTATTGTAATAACTATTGGTATCTAACATTTTACTAGCTTTGAGCTTCTAAGCCACCGGTTTATTTATCATTGTAGCTTGCTTTGTGTTCAGAAATCAGTAGTAGAACAGGACACGGAACGCGGATACACCGTTTATCAACGCGCGCCCAAGCGAGCACGGAAAATCGAACAGGCACAAGCTGTAAATGCAACGGGCTCGGTCTTCCGGTGCTCCGCGAAATGTGATTACGTGAATGGTTCACGCAGGTGCCAGGCTCGTACGTGTGACTAATCGCGGCAACGAATAGGCATCAACCAATAGACAGTCAGTAACGGTGCGTGAGTGCAAGACTGTCTGATTGCGTACGTGGCTAATTCAACCAAATACACCATCCAGGGCCACACAGTCTCCACTGCCCACAGATCACCATAGATATGACGAATAAAAGAGAACAATTTATGTAAAGTTTTATATTCCGACCACCTAGTACAAGAAGTTGTAGATCATTTGGGAAGGAGAAGCTGAATACGAAGAAAATGATTTGTTGACCGATTTTCGACAACACAAGTACAGACACATATAAACGCAGCATTAAGAAATAAGGGTTTGGATGAGAATTTTCGCCCCATTTAGAGTATTGCAATCCTTCAGAAACCAAAGTCCGACATTCACTTAGGTAACTGCTTCACATATCGAAATGCTCCAAGCCGGAAAGCGCCTGATCAAGCCATCGATTCAAAACCCTATGGTTACTTTGGAAAAATCATTCGTTTTCAAGGATTTACTTTAACACCCAATGGAAGTTCTGAAGGCTTTAAGAACTGACAAAATCAATGCTGTCCTGGTGGACGGTCATAAGTGCTGGCGTATTATCAGGGCTTATGTACTGAATGCAAGTGTACCAACCATTGAAATAGGAATAATTTTACCGGATCCGTAGGAGTTGAGAGTCGTGTAACAACTCATACAGATCAATTCAGACTGGACACTGGCGGGAATGAAGGTGATACCTACTCATTTATGCAAGTAGGATATTATTGTATCTGGGTGACGGGACAAATTCTTCCGGAAGCTCATAAGTTTTGCATACGCGATAATCTCCTTTCGAATCATCCTCATAATTGAGCACTCTACATTGGAGTGATCCTGGTAATCTCATCTGAATTGTGAGGAGCGTGCATAATTTAAACACATGAAGTCGTTTGAACCAAAAAGTTGATTCAGACTCACATTGGAACAGTTTTTCCGTATTCAAGGCTATTCCTGAATATTTTTCACAGTATAAGAGAAACAAATCAAACTTTTCTTTCAAACTGAAGAATATTTCAGCTCAGTTTAATTGTGAAACATTGTTACCAATGATAGTTGACTGTCTGAGCCTGTGCCTGTGACCTGATAATCTGCACTGTCTAGCTGATCAGTGAGTGCTCCACTTGTTTTAATCAAAGCTCCCTTACTATTATTTTACTAAAATGGTTGATAAATGTCCAAATCCTCCCCCTTGAGACTCGAGAAGCCATCTGTATGCATTATGATGGGGTCACTTTGACCAGTCTGACCAGAAAAAGTAGAATTTTTCTTTGCATACTGGAGGTCACTAGCCGTTTCAATTTTCCAAGTCCTGGAAATGCTGGGGTGGGACGGATTTAAAGAAACCTGTTCAGTCTGAGCAATTAGCTCTGTGTTTGACCGGAAGAAAACATTTTGTAAAAAATATTTTCGTATATTAGCGGAAAACCCCGGATGATCCAACGTCAGACGAACGGATACAAGCGAACCATTTTGACAGTGCCGAATTAAGATAAGCAACAGCAACAACCAAATGTATCGCAGGATTTATTCTCTTGTTCTTATTGAATGAAACTGCAAATCCTACAGTAATTCAAGGGTTGATGGATATAGCAGGGGGAATTTCATTCCTGGGTTATTTCAGTTGAAACTTGTCAGATTTTCGTGGCACGTATCAACTTTTATCAGCGTTTACTTTGCAAACTCTTTGGGACTCACCAGGAGGGAAACCGATCGAAAATCAAGCCCTGGATGTGATTCGTATTTCCCTTGTTCCACTTAGACCCCCGAGGGAGACGGTGCAGAAGTACCTCATAAGAGCTGACCGTCATACTAGTGACAACCTGTTATTATTCAGGTCCGTTAACAAGTTGGCTCTATCATTATTGCCATTATCCGATTATTTCCACTAAGCACAATTAGAGAACCCAGATTGGTGAACAAACTCGATTACAGTGATTCAAACTCATTCCATAATATCATAATTTATCACCACAGGCTTGGGAATTTAACCAATAAGAATTGATGGAGGCTAATCGCGACAACATTGGATAGAAAATAACTATGATCCCGGCCTAAATCATGACCGGAGGTAAATTGTCAGCTTCCGGACAGGAGCTGGGTGGGGCAGTGGTAACACACATGTCTGCGAGATGGAAGGGCGCGGGTTTGAACCCTGGATGTGGCAGAGGATATGCACCATTGATGAGCTCTAACAAGAGCATAACTCGAAACTGGTGTTTCCGAGTGCAGGCTGGTCAGATGACCTGAGATTTGCACGTGAAACCTGGAATTCAAAGGACAGTCAACCAAGCAGTTTTCATCTGGTCTATGGCCTGTTGTAGGGTGGAGGATGAGTCATGGCAGCTTAAGAGCACACATTGTCTTTGGGCATATCATGAAAGATTGTATAGGTGGTGGTGATTGTCCACTCCAGACCATATAAAGGGGCACGAAAAGCCTCGGGAAAGTTTACTATCGAATTGGACTGAGCTATGTGCGAAACGACCGCGCCAGTGAGCGATTAATTTGTTCGGGTGTGAAAGGGAAACGCATGGCTTCATTTGATTTCCAATCACTGTTTACGAATGTTCCCGGTCGGGAGGTCATACGTATCATCTGTGACCATGTGGAGCAAATCCAACTGAAAATCCGTATACCAGTATCAGTTCTGGTTAGACAATCACCACTGTGCGCAACAAACGTATCGTTCTCCTTCCTTGGTCGGGCTTACAGACAAATTGACGGTGTCCCAATGTGGAAATCCATTGAGTCCCATTCTGACACATATATTTATGGCTCATCTTGAGGAAAAGGCAAGCAAAATCCTCCAACATTCACAACTTTACAAGCGATACGTTGATCATGTTCTAGTCATCAGAATATGTCTATAAGAGACAACATGGATTATGGATGAACTCGATCGCTTGCATCCGAATATACGATTTACGATGGAAGCAGAACGCGAACATACACTGCACTTCCTCGACATTAAAATGACTAGGAAGAATGATGGAACAATCGCCAGATCTGTTTACCGAGAAGAAACTTGGACAGGCCAATGCTTGCAATTTGACAGCTTTGTGTCTGTGGAATATGAACGTGGTCTGGTCCGAACACTATTTCAAACAGCACGACATATCTGCACAGAAGACATGATTGACAACGAACTACGACAGCTGAAAGAATCTTTGACTAGAAACGCTTATCCCGATGCATTTATCGAAAGGCACAGCAAGCCTAAAGTGATCAGACAAACGAATTCGTCAGCAGAAAAACTACTAGTCACCATTTGTCTTCCATTCAAACGTGATGACATCAATTGCTTGCTCAAACGACCACTTGGATCAGCGCTTGCCCGAACATATTATGCAGCTGACCTCAGAATTGTTCATCGAACGATTGAGATCCCCACACCGTCGGTGAAACAACGTCCACCTCTGTTCACCAAATCGAATCTGATTTACCAATTTCAGTGTAGTTGCGGAGCTACCTACGTGGGTCCATCTTGCAATATATGAGACGTGCAAACGATACATTCTAATCGATCATTCACTCCTGACCTCATTGATCAATCAAACGACCTTATCTGATCACTCGGTATATGTCGCTTCTATCTGTGGCCTATTCAGGAATTAAGGCTTATGTTGGAAACGTTCTGATTTGACTTGTCGGTTCTCATGGTTTAAATTGGTATCAGTGTCGGAGGAATGTGGTCACTTTCGTTTTGCTAACATATTCTTCACTACTCGGTTTATTTTACTTCCGCGAATCTGTAGAGGAATTCGGAGATCACAAGTCTAGTTTTGTTTGTTGACCGATTTGAGTTGAATTTTCGCATATTGTTACCCGACACTGAATTACTGTTGTTCAACAGGATAGAAGTGTGAGGTTCCCGGAGAATTCTGAAATCGTATGCCTGCGCGTCTTCAACAACCTCTGATTAGTGAGCTTGGAATTCAGGGGACAAACTTTTCATCATCAGCCGAGATGCCACCATTAGTACACAGGAACTTATGAAAACCTTCCTCCTAAACTGCGACCTATACCAGTTCTTAAAGCCAATAATTTCGTATCAGATTTGGGACTCTTCATCAAGACATACCTGAGGAATAAGGGAATAGAAACTGGTTACCATTTGTCAGTCAGTGGTTAAACTCATTCGAATTGAATATTCTCCTTCCTGATTTACCACGTATTCTGGGGTGAACTTCAAAATTTACTAACGTTTCAACCAAATTAGCTGCTCACAGACTATTGAAAATAAATTCAAGTCGAAAAGCCATCCTGTTTGTGAAAAAATCTGAAAACTTCAGGGGAACGAGGAGCTGCTATTACGGGAAATATTTTATCACTGTTTTCGTTAGTGTTTTGGGAATCCTCTGTGGCGATGTGCACCTGTCGAGCTGGAGCTGGGAATTGGACCGGTCGAGTAGGATTATGATTCACCGACATTAGGCATACAACACTTAACTTCAGCAACAACCGAAATACCACCCGTATTGATGACTCTCGGCTCCGATGCTTGACTGATCACAGATTACGAATCATGCGTAAAGTCGGTTTAAATGAGCTCACAGCAAGCTCAGAATGGGAACGGTTTTAGCATGTTTCCCATTCGAATCTCTCCAGCTCAGTTTATTCTCCGTCTTCAAGTCTCGAGTCCTGTCTCGATCTGTACAAATTATTCAGGTTGCCCTCTTTCGTACCAGTACGAACGTTTGTTGCTCGCAGATACTGTTTCCACGATCAGGAAATGGTAACGTGCTAATAAAATGCGTTTGAATAGGCCCATGAGTAAATGCAATCACAGTGGGGACAAAAACAATGCCTACATGCGGTCTCGTTTGACATTTGTGTGAGTAAGTATTGTCCGCTTGCACCGCAATAATATGATACGCAACTTTACGGATAAACCGTAATTTGCCAAAACATTTGTAAAAGACCTCATTTGACTGTCCACCGTAATTTTAGACGATTGTGTAAATTTTCTTAGAGAACACTTTTAACTGTACTCTAATGCTATGCATATTCTGCAAGTCTTTCATGGTAAGGAAAATTCGGCATATAGCTTTGCTTATTCCATTAAGCGTACATAAACGTTTCTTCTAATTTTCACGGAAGTGAAAGCTTTATCACATGGAACTCATTGCTGAGCTGGTTCGAAGTCAAATAGCTGGTTACCTGTTTGGTACTCATACTCGTACGCAAAATTCAGATAGATATCATTATTGGAAGTAATCAGGATGCAACTGAAAACAGTAAAATGCACCTCACTCAAGCAAAGCTTTGCTCATTTTTGATATAGATGAATGATAAGCCTGTAGGCTTACAAGAGAGACAGAATTTAATATCTACGAATAGAATACAGTACAAAATATCAGAGACTAGTTGGACGAACCTAGGATGCCCATCATGATTCTCTACCAGTCTGACCTTGCACGAAATGACAAGGATGTCATTGTGCACAGCTTGTTGTCTTACACTATAGTTTTTAGGCGATTTGGTGATGGGATCATGTTGTGTCACAGTAAGGACGACAAGGTTCATATACCTATCCTTCCTGCTCGTGCCCTTTTTACTCCATATAGTAACGAAGATGGCGAGACGAATGAGGACACACGTATTTGGACAAGTTCGTGGAACATATATAATCGTTCATATAGTACGTTCTCCAAACTGAGCTACAGCAGCTTTGATCCTCCGACTGCCCGAGTATTCTGGCTGCATTCTGGCCAGTTCACTGTGGCCGTTGGCTTGATTCTCTTACGCATTATTTAAGTTCAGCTGATCCGATTGTTTCAGTTGAAGGCTTGTTCGGTAGCTCCTCACCTGAGCTATCTTCCTGGTTGCAAAATATCCCGCTGCGTTTTGTCTGCTAGTCCGAATGCCTCTTTTTGTTTGTTGGGGGATTCTTCTGACAAATTCATCGTCTGTTCTTTGGTCTGTGGCTCACGACCGGTTGGTCTAATCGGCTTGATGTTTGCTCGTTCTGCTGCTTCAGTATTCGACTCTGCAATATGAATTCCACGTGGATTCTTCCCTCCTGACACAGGAAATGTAAACTGCCGGTGATATGACAAGCAAGTTCCCGGCTGATATATCATGTATCCCAGTTAACATAATATTCTCAGTTGATTTTAACTAGAAAACAGTTACTGGAATGATGAATCGAATACCGGAATCACCACTTTATGGTTGCATAGGCTTTTATTGTTTCATATGGTTTCCCCATGCATGTAAATTGTTCTTATTATGATATATTTAAAGAATGCCCCGAAGAGACTGATTTGCACACATTATCCTGACGACGAAAATACTAGGATTATCTTCAACTGAATTGGGATTCAAATAGTTCTCTGGGCCCGCATATTTTGCAAATTCTGTAACCACGAGTGTTTGACATCTCTCTGTTTTGTCCGTTTTGATTTCAGATTTTCCTATTCATGCTGATCTGCCTAATTCTAATATCTCGTTCGGCATTGGGAAGCACTTGTCCGAAATAAAACAATGTCGTAGAATTAATGTGTCCGAACCGAAATCGGTTCGGAGTGTATCGAAAAATCGATGCGCCATGTGAAATGTTATGGTAGAATTTTATTGCTCAATAACACAGCGTAGTCGAGATCGTTGGTAGGTTGTCGACGTTACCAGTTTCATTCGGTTGTAAACCCAGTCTTGAAAACAGGTTGCCCGTGGTGACCGAAACGTCGACAACCTACCAACGATCTCGACTACGCTGTGTTATTGAGCAATAAAATTCTACCAATGCCATAGAATCTATAGAGATTGTCTCATTCGTTGATCATGAAATCCTGGGTTCGCTTCCCAACATCAACGGTCACTTTCCTTTTTCGGTAGCCTTGGATTGGCCGTGGACATCTTCCAGAAGTACTGTTCCTTATAGTTTGACAGATGAAGAAATTTAAGGATTATTTGTCGAAATGAGCCTAGGATTGATGAGCCTAAAATTTATGGATAATGAAGAATCCACCTGTATATTCCTCACCCAGAGCGGATTCAAGACATTCACTTCTGAACTGATCAAATTTGAAGGTGTTTCAGGTTTTTACGTTCTTTCAGCTGAATGTGTCTCATTCCAATAAGCAGTTATATGAAAGTGTTTTGACTTGATTCTGCATCTTGTTTTGTCAGGGGATAAACGAGGTCTGTTGTTCTAGAATTCAGCCATTACCCACGGCGCTTAGGACGAGGAGAACAGTTTCTCAGATATTAGTATGGATTTAACAATGATTCGCACGAGAATTGTTTCATATCTCTAATCGCTCCATACCGCAGTATATAAACTGTTTAAGAACCATTTGGTCATATAAACGAAGGACTACATTTGCAAAAGACGACTGAGAAACCAGCGTGGAAAATGTTTGAAGCGTAGTTCACGTGAAGAAATCCTGTGATCAGACCACTACAACACGAGTAGGCTACTTAAACAATGAATGTTCGGTTAAGGTGAACTTTATTCGTGAACAAGAGGAAGACAGGTGAATAGTTCTAGAAGAAATTGAGCAAGGAGAAATTCAAGCTGGGAAGCGGGGTTTGAAGATTCATGATGATATTAAAGATGACGACATGACTATATTTCAATGCATGTCGAATTTTGGTCAAAACTAAAAGCAGATTATCAATGAACATGGAAAATTAGACATCTCAAAAATAATCCCTAGTCCCATTTTTTAAGCTAAAATAATTATATGATTGGATCTTATTTTCAGGAAAACACTGTAAGTACGCAAAGCTTTCTGTTGTATGACTTGAGAGAAAGTAATGGTATTTTCATTATTCGGAAGAACTTGTTGACTTTTGGAGGTCATCTATCCCTACAGAAAATTCTGCACCCAGACAAAATTTTATACCACGCACAATTTTCGTTGGGTGATAACTAAACACGATTAAATTCCGTGTCATTTTTCTTCTCTTTGAAGAGTATAGAACGAACACTTTACCGGATTTGCCATTTTTCACTTGGCGAACATGAGAAAGTGTGAAGGGAAAAATGGAAAATAAGGAGTAATATGTTCCATGTCACTTTTCACTACAACGTTTCACGGACGTATTACCCTTTGGCAAATATCTATTCGACTTATCTCTTTCCTCAACCAATTATTTCAGTTTCTTATTTGTATTCAGTGCCTACACATATTTATTGCCACTAGTTACCCTGTCTTTGTCTAAGTGCATTATCTTCACTTCCGTAGCTCAATGAGGAGAAATTGCAACAGATTGTTTCTTCGGCATTGAAAATGAATTATCCATCATAATAAAATCGGAGCTTTAAGGGGACAGTTGTGACCACAGAACCATCAAGGTGTCAATGGTTTTTCTATTCTAAAAGCATAGACCAATTACGTTGATATACCAATCGCTATAAGATGAACACTCTCTTGGGAAGCATAACCTGAAGCAGTATTCGGCAATAAAGTGGTCTTCCAAGAAGAAATTCGAATCTGACAGACTGGAAACATTGATATTCTGAACCCAATGAATTCTGCATTGTTTACTC